TGACCGAATAATACACTCGGCTACAACACGCGCGATCCTTTCTCCGCGGTGAAATTACTGCAACTTTCATTGTTTTACACGCGTGCGAACGTTAAAAACGTAAAAAAAAAAACCCTCTGCAAACTCCCGGAGCAAACCGCGATCAAAATAATACAACGGTTATTTCTAATCCGCGTGTACAAAAAAAAAAATATATTAATAGTTTTGGCCGGTAGTGCGAATATACACAACTCGCGTTACTGATTTCAGTGGCGTGCACAGGGAGGGGCGGAAGTTAGGATCTGTATTTCCCGCCATTTGCCTAAAAAATGCGAAAAATGATGATTATTTATTAAGTAATATTCGTTCTTGCAATGCGTGTCATTCTTTAGCCAGTCATAAGGAAAAGCTTTTAGATTCCTATTGTCAAGTTGGATAGAAAACAAGGCTCTACGATTTATTCGTCGTTATTATTTTACTAGACAGTAGAGTTCCTCTGCCGAATGAAAATTTAGTATACGAAATCTGTTGATAATAAGTAATAGCGATTCTAGTACAAGAAGGAAAACAAGTGTAAAACCAATTCGTTTTTTGTTATTCTGGAATCTAAAGGCAATTCGAGTAAACTTTGAAAAAAAAAAAAAAACACCGAAGGCCATTCGAGGATCAGACGGGATGCGATTTGAGTGTGCCCTTCCCTACAGGGTATTTCTTAATCGTCTGTTCATTCGAAGATCCTGCCTACGTCGAATTAATTGCGAACCGTAATATTTTATCAACTGCACGGATCGCGACTCGTATTATAATATTATCACTGTGTACGCGTTGCCGTTTACGCGATAATTCGATAATAATATTTCAATCCGCCGTCATTTCGATGTAGCGGGCACACGGCCGCCGGGAGAAACTCGCCGTTTACGGTCCGGTTTCCCGCGGGTATATGGAGTACAATTTAGGCGCGTGCGACGAGGGCGAATGACTTTTTAAAATATGTATGATTTGCCGGTTGTTCTCTCCCTGCATATCACTACTGACGCGACTTTGCGAACGAGTTCGTCGCACGACGATCGTACAGCTTTACGCAGCCCGGCTATGTCCGCTTTAACGGAGAAAATCGTAAATTTGTTCCGAAACAATCTCTTTACGGAAATCTGCACATTGCGTATCGTTATTTTGATTGTTATTATTATTATGCGAGTGACGCGCGTTCGTACTTACACATTATGCTCGCACATAATATTGCATACCCTGCCTGCTACAGTAGCGGTCGGACGATGTAATGTTAATCCGGTTGTTGACAGATCGACATTGTTTACCCGGCGCACGCGGTTCACATAACGGCGGTCGTATTCGATTATACGTGTATGTGTGTATACGTTACGTAGTTACTTATAAAACGAAAGGAAAAAAAAAAACAAACAAAAAAAAAAACGAAAAAAATTCCCGGTGGCAAATTAGCGAAACCGCGGATACGCTATACATGGACGGCGACGCGGGAAAAGGGTCTAAGCGAAGCAATTCGCAGTTTTCGGGAGAGTCAAAAAACATTTTTTTTTTTTGCGATATTAAAACTTTTTTTCTTCTAGGTTGGCGATAACTTTTTTTCGGTTAAAACAGAGAATTCGTCCATTGAATACTTTTAGATTGCGAGCGTGGCGTGGGAGCTATTGGTTTTACTAAGATGTTTATTTTTTCCTTTCTTCTGGTATGTGGACACGTTTTTTCTTAGTAAACTTGCTCCGACTTTTTCGTGTAGCAACTTTTCTGAAACCTTATGTTGTTTATATGGTACTCTAAAGAGGTAATTTTTTTTGATTTTCCACTTTTTTTTGTACGTCCTTAACATGACTACGTATTATTGATTAGACTTTTATTGTCGTTTAGACCCTATATAATTGAGAAGAAAAAAAAAGTGTCGTTTGTACCTCAAACTTAAAAATCGAATTGTTGGTTAAATAACGGTAATAGCTTATTTTGCACACGCTCAATGAACGGAACACGGTATTTCTCTATCTAATAGTGAACCCGTGTCGCTTAAATCCTTTTGCCGTGTCACTATCGATATGGTTGCGCGACAATACAACGGCGCCAAATGTTCTTATCAAGATTCAGAAAAAGAAAAAAATTCTCGTCATATTTCTCTCTCCTGTTTACAACCGAATCAACTGAGAGAAATCTACAGCAATTTAACACGAATCAAAATATGTTATTTCATTTATTGACGTCACCAAAGCGACCTAAAAATAAATAAAACGATTTCAATTTGCTACCGTTCGGGGATTAATTTTCGCGATCAAAAACATACAGTGACGTTCCTATCTTGTTTTGAATGTCAAGCGTGGAAAGTCTCGTCGAGGAATAAAAACTGTTAATATAGCGAACATGTACACACACACACACACACGCGCGTAGACAAAATTCAAATTTTACGTATACAATTAAATCCATATCTATGTGTCGATCTGGCCATTGGCTTTCAGTCGTGCTTGTGAAATTGCGATCGGGACACCTCAGGCCCCGATATTTATAAAACATCTGTCATTATTACGTCTTATGCGATTAAAATGTTTAAATTTATCGTTTAAATTTGACTTTTATGAGGAGCATCGTTTGGTATGCGATTTAAACACAAAGTGAAATCTACGAGTACTGTAATAATGACTGTAGAAGGCGCCAGCGGTAGGCGAATTTTTTTTTCGAATTTATAGGAAAATTTGGTGAACCAAAATAGATCGCAACCGTGGTATGCCGAAACACAGCTACATGGTCTTGGCAATACGCGTAAAATAAACCATTCTTCATGGTGATTTGCCGTCCATTTAATACGCATTCTTATCGATCTAGTAAACACGAATTAAAATGATAAAAAATGTATATAAAATGAAAATGAAACACAACGTTTTCGTCGATGCAAAACCCAATACTGTTCCGAGGAAAACCACGAATGTCCTAAGTGTAAACCCGTGCTCAGAGTTCAGAAATAATGCATTCGTGAACGTGGTTTTACTTTCATTTTTATAAGGAACGGCAAAAACGGTAAATTCATTCTGTGTCGGAATGTGAACGCCAACGGTAAAAACAAAATATTATGAAATGTTTTTTTACGGTTTTAATGGAAAATCTGTATAGTTCATCATGATTCATTTTTATATAATATGATATTTTTACAAACTTTTTTTTATCACTTTTTGCAAAAACAATTCAACCAAGCCGATCGGTTTTACTCCAAACACGTCCTATTCAGTTGTCTTATGCTTTCTACTGACCGGAGGGAGTTATAGGGGAGTGCTGGATGGATGACATCCCACGCAAACTCGAAAAGAAAATGTAACGTTTCAATTCCCGAGTCGGAAAAAATTGATTTATAGTTTGCAATTAAAAAAAAATTTCCGAGTAGTCGAAAATAGTAGTTAAAAGTTGGTGTCTGCCGTGTTATGCTAAAAAGGCCGATAAGTAAAAACAGAAATTCGTCAGCTAAGCCGTTCATACTCACCAGCCTATTTGAATAAAAATACTACATTTTCAGATCGGCTGAACTATAGGTAGCACCCTTGCGCTGCCACTGGCCGTGAGACCGTGTGCGTTTCATTAGCACGCTTTTCGGTCACTGTAAACTGAGGTTCCGGCAGTCAGCGGCACCTGTATAGGAACAATTTTTTTTAAAAAAAGACCAACATACTTCGCACCACGTGTAGGCCACTGTTGTAGATGAGAAGCTGGGAAGGTAGGACATAGTGGGAAATTGAATTTATATCTGTACACAATGATTAACCATTGCTAACGAAAAACGATTCTGAGCGGAGCTCGGTTAACAGTATTGCTTTAATAGCTATTGTTGAAAAAAGATTAAACGACTTGAAATAAATAATAATGGTTGCCAATGAAAACATTGTTTTTAATCTTTTTCAATCCTATAAGAATCGGTTTTTTTTCTCATTATCTCGAATATTAATGAAAATTTTTTAAAAAAACGACCTCCCCTAACGAAAACGGTCTCTTATCACGTATGGGTTGGAATAGGATTTACGGTAGAAAAGTTGTTCACGGACGCGAAAAATTAAAAAAACACACACATCACACAGTCAAACCGATCGTTTTTTGATTGTAGCTTAATTGGAGGGCCTATTCGGTAACAAGACTCCACGGCGTGTGTCACGAGTCGACTAGGAAGTCACGGCACCAGTTGCGCATTGAACGCCGTCCAGGATCACCTAGCACCGTTCGGGGAAAAGAAGTTTTTGATGAGAGGGTTACGATGATTTTCTAGTTTAAGATGGAAACGTTTGCATGGTGTTTTGCAACGTGTTTTTTAACAGCGTGAACGGGCAGGTCCACGTGGAGAGTATCGTTTGACACATAAGACGGGGCTGTGGTTACCTGTCCGACAGCTCGGAGTCTACAATAATAATAATAATAATAATAATAATAAAAAAAAATCCCGTGTAATGACTGGTTTAATATATAATATATTACGTTTATTTTATAATAACATTATACATATATATATAATATAAAGTATGTATGTTTTGCACATTGTTTTTAAACACGACGGAGCGGCGGCGTGACTATAATATACACGCTCGTTCGGAGGATTTGTTTTTTTTTTTTTTTT